TATACCTGCGCTGGCACTTATGGCAACCAGTGTTGCCACAAATTTTTTTTATTTTTTACCAAAATCACCGGAAAAATTTACCAAATTCAACAAAAAATTACCAAACTTATTTTATGTGCAGAGCCCTAACCGCTAGATGCCTTTCTGCATCAAAAAGAAAATTTTGAAAAAATGTCGCTTATGTTATTTTGGCAGTTAGGGCTCGATATGTCTATACAAAAATGTATATATCCGAAGATACCAAGCTTTTCAGGCAATCAGCGCTCCATTAACCTCAAATTTTTACGAAAGTTGTTGAATTTTTTTAAACATTGAACATAGTTTGAAATTTGAATTTGCTTGAGGTCTGTTGAAGAAAGAATAGTATTTAAAAAAAAAAATAACCAAAATTAAATCACAAAAAAAATTACATTTTAAATCTTGTAAAACTATGAAGCGGCAATAATTTTTTCGACCACTGTATGTAAACAAGTAATTTTTAGCAAAAAAAAAAATATATATATATATCTCATGATCCAATGATCCGATCTAAACAAGATTAGTATGGGACCACCTCGGAGAAACTACCTTTCCGATGCAAAAATAATTATCGAAATCAGTTGACGTGGTCCAAAGTTATGCGGTAACATACATAAAAAAATAAAAATATTCTGACGAACTGATAACCTCCTGCTTTTTTGGAAGTCGGTTAACAAGTGACAGGAAAATATGTCAACAATTCAACGCTTGAAGGAAAGCTTTCGACTCACTATATACAGGGTGAAGTCCCCCGCTGAGCTTTTTGAATGAGAACATACGTATTTACGTATAATTCTATTCATATATATGGTTGCCGGGTACACCGGAAAATTGATGGTAATTGAAAAGCTGACGAACTGACAGGGAAAGGTAGGACCACCCAAAACCTTCTAGGAAAGGATACGGTGGATGTACTTAGCAATAGCCACTTTCAAGCAGTTTGTTAAAGAACACACCATTCTAGTAGCCAAGGAACGCTGGAACAACTTTCGTCTTGCGAAACTTTCACGATTACCTGGTATTTATATAAAAGGATACGCTTACGGTCCACTTACTTATGTGGAATCAGAACCAATATTGACCTATTTGACATGTAAGACCGACTCAAAAAAATTACCAAATTGAAAAATAAACTACCAAATTCTTCTTCTTCTTCTTATTTGGCGCTGTAACCGCCTAAGCGATTTTGGCCGAGTCCAAAACAGCACGCCAGTCATTTCTCTTCTGTGCTAACTGACGCCAATTGAAAATGCCAAGTGAAGCCAAGTCCTTCTCCACCTGGTCTTTCCAACGCAGAGGAGGCCTTCCTCTTCCTCTGTTACCAGCATCGCGGCCCGCGTTGAATATTTTCAGAGCAGGAGCGTTTCTGTCCTTCCGAACGACATGGCCAAGCCAGCGGAGCCGCTGAATTTTAATTCGCTGCACTATGTCTATATCGTTATAAAGCTCATACAGCTCATCGTTAAATCGTCTGCGATATTCGCCATCACCAACGCGTAAAGGTCCGTAAATCTTTCGCAGAATATTTCTCTCGAAAACTCCAAGAGCCGCCTCATCAGATGCTTTCATTGTCCATGCTTCCGCGCCATACACCAGCACAGGCATGATGAGTGACTTATAGAGTGTGATCTTTGTACGACGAGAGAGGACTTTACTTCTCAATTGCCTACTCAGCCCAAAGTAGCACTTGTTGGCAAGAGTGATTCTCCGTTGGATTTCAAGGCTGACATTATTATTGGTGTTAATGCTGGTTCCCAAATAAACGAAGTCGTCTACTTTTTCAAACTTGTAACTGTCAACAGTGACGTGGGTGCCAAGACGCGTATGCTCTGACTGTTTGTGTGCTGACAGGAGATACTTCGTTTTGTCCTCGTTCACCACCAGACCCATTCGCTTTGCATCTCTATCCAATCCCGAGAAGGCAGAACAGACGTAGCCCTTGTTTTTACCGATAATATCGATGTCGTCGGCATACGCCAGCAATTGTACGCTCTTATAAAGTATTGTGCCTGAGCGGTTCAGTTCTGCGGCTCTTATTATCTTCTCCAACATAAGATTAAAGAAATCACACGAAAGGAAGTCCCCTTGTCTGAAACCTCGTTTGGTATCAAACGGCTCGGAGAGGTCCTTCCCTATTCTGACGGAGCTGGTGGTATTGCTCAACGTCATTTTACACAGCCGTATTAGTTTCGCGGGGATACCAAATTCAGACATCGCGGCATAAAGGCAACTTCTCTTCGTGCTGTCGAAAGCGGCTTTGAAATCGACAAATAGATGGTGTGTGTCGATCCTATTCTCGCGGGTCTTTTCCAAGATTTGGCGTATTGTGAATACCTGATCTATGGTGGATTTTCCAGGCCTAAAGCCACACTGATAAGGTCCAATAAGCTCGTTGACGGTGGGCTTCAGTCTTTCGCACAATACGCTCGATAAGACCTTGTAACCTATGCTTAGAAGGCTAATTCCGCGGTAGTTGGCGCGTACGGCGGGGTCGCCTTTCGTGTGGATTGGGCAGAGCACACTTAAATTCCAGTCGTCGGGCATGCGTTCATCTGACCATATTCTGCATACGAGCTGATGCATGCACCTCATCAGCTCCTCGCCGCCGTACTTGAATAGCTCGGCTGGCAGGCCGTCAGCTCCAGCAGCTTTGTTGTTTTTCAGCCGCGTAATCGCTATTCGTACCTCGTCATAGTCAGGCGGTGGGACAGCTACTCCATCATCATCGACTGGGGACTCGGGTTCGTCTTCCTCACTACTTTCAGCGCTGCTAACATTCAGTAGGTTATAAAAGTGTTCCCTCCACAATTTAAGTATATTCTGGACATCGGTCACTAGGTCGCCATTGTTGTTCTTACAGGAGTTCGCCCCGGTCTTGAAACCTTCCGTAAGTCGCCTAACCCTCTGGTAGAATTTTCGGGCGTTCTCCCTGTCGGCCAGCATCTCAAGCTCTTCGCACTCACGTATTTCGGCCTCTCTCTTCTTATTGCGGCAAATACGTCTCGCTTCCTTCTTCAGTTCCCTATAACGGTTCCACATGGCTCGCGTTGCGCCCGATCGCAGCGTGGCCCTGTAGGCGGCATCTTTTTTCTCTGCGTCTTCTTGACATTCCTCATCGTACCAGTTGTTCTTTCGGGCTCGCTGAAATCCAACTACTTCTTCGGCGGCGGTACTTAATGATCGGGAAATGTGGTTCCACTGCTCGCGTACGTCGGATTGTTGAAGAGTGCTCTCAGAGAGCAGGTGTGTGAGTCGAGTGGCGAATAAATTGGCCGTCTTTTGTGATTGCAGCTTTTCGACGTTAAGCTTTCCTTGCATTGTTGGGCGCACATTTTTTGCTGCACAGAGGCGGGTGCGTATCTTGGCTACAACAAGATAGTGGTCCGAGTCGATGTTTGGCCCTCGGAGTGTACGTACGTCCAAAACGCTTGAAGCATGCCTTCCGTCTATCACAACATGATCGATTTGGTTTCTCGTTTTTCGATCTGGAGACAGCCATGTAGATTGGTGGATGTTCTTATGCTGGAACCTAGT